TTGACTCTCACGAGCATTGCGCCTCGCAGGTGGCTCTCTGTGCAATGGCAATAGCTCTGCGCAATAGCTCTGTGCAAATGACTCTGCGCAATGACTCTGTGCAATGGCTCTGTGCAATGACTCTGTGCTATGTCTCTGTGCAATGACTCTCATGATGATGATGATGACTCTGTGCAACGACTCTGATGATGATAGCTCTTTGCAATGACTCTCATGATGATAACTCCCATGAACCCAACGGAAGAACCCTTCGCCATGCTTCCGGGAGAAATGTTTGTTGCTACAGATTGGTAAAGCCGTTTTTTGTTGAAGGTCGAGGTTCAGAAAGGCCAGTCGCCAACGCCAACACGACTACGACCAAAACTGTGCTAGCACGTGCGCCCTTACAGAGCCTGCTGGCAGACTGTCTGGGTCCATGTGTGATATGCACCCACATACTCAATGCTCAAGACCAAGTTGCTCAACCACGCACGAGCGGTGCTGCTTGGATGCAATCCCATTGCGTGTGGCAACCAGGCTTTGTGGCAACGATGTCAGTCGCCTGTTTTCAGCTTGACACACTTGCAGAGCGTCTGGCGTTTGGCGCAGTCACGAACTTGAGAGCAGCCTGCGTAAGCCATACAATCTCTCATACGGGGCGTGTGTGACACCCGTGACAGTGAGCGCAGGTATTGCCGAGCGTCCGGCGCAACCTTCGCGATTGTGGGGGCCCGCGTCAAGGGCTTCTGTGATGCCTTGCGCTTCCTACGTGACCACCTCCGGCACACGGGTGACTGGGCTGGAGGTCTCGGCCGAGCCGACTTTGGTGCTCGTGCATGGCGCAGCTGGCCTGCGTCTCTTAACGCCTTTCCTGCTGCAACCGAGGCGTTTGTTTGCCTCTGCCGTCAGCAATAGATGAAAAAAAACGAAACAACGAGCCAAGTGCGCTGAGCGCACTCTCAGCCGTGTAACCTGCGCCGGAGGTGTGGCAGAATTCACCTGCAGTGTCTGCCAAAACGAAGGGGCAGCAAGGTATTCACTCAAGACTCCGGACCTCTCATAGCAGTTCGGAATAAACAAAACGGGTCGCCTGAGCAACTCCACACAGCCATGCGTCTTAGAACATGCGGTTGATACTGCTAATGCACGGGGTGTATAATCAGGCGTCTGCAAACTGCCTGGAAAGGCTTCTGCGGCAAAAAGAGAAGCTGTGAGAGAAGGCCACAGTGTTGTCTGAATTTTAGCAGTTGGTTGCGCATGGTTGCGCGGGGTGGCTGCAAAGGCTGCTTCTCTAACTCCCCGCGCAGGCTGACAGGACTTAGAGGGAAGTGAGTCCTTATGCCGCAAGCTGCACAAGAAGAAGGCATCTGGGCTCTAGCATGTCGGGAGCAGCAGGGGGAAAAGAACGTGTTAAGAAAGGTCCGGAACAAGTGCGAGCACAGCCATGGCCGAAGTCGCGTTGGTTGCGGTGGCAGCGGCAAAGCACAACCATTGCGTGTGTTGCTCCGATGTTGAGAGGCTTCAGGGCCCATCCGTGTTGAGCTTCCAGGATCACCCGAAGCCAGGCAGAACGCCCGGGCCAATCCTTCACAGCCCTCGCAGCCTTTTGGTGTCCCTTGCACCAGCACTGGCCTTGCATGTGTTTGCGCTTGTACCCGTCCATTGTGTCCGGCACAAAGCTAGCTATCAGACTGGCTGAGCTGGCGCGTGTTCTTGGCAGGGCCTCCTCATCCAGAACTCATGACGCCACGCGGCTAAACCACTCCTGTGCAGGGTTGCTCGAATTTCCCCACTTCATTTGCTGCAAGTTGTGTGTTCCATGCTGAGTTGCAGCTGTTTGCCTTTGGACACGCATGCACGCCAATGCTGAAACCCGAAGCCGGCATGTAGTAAAAATGTCGGTTGACTCTGTTGATCCTTGTCGTACTTGCAGGGAGTATTTGTCCATCCAGCCACAATGTACACAGCCCTCTTCATGCGCCTCTCTCACAGTGGGGGTCTGTGAGCCCATGACAACGCGGGGCATCGCGGCGCACACGTTGCAGCATTAATGATCCTGGCTGAAAGATTGTGTTCACAACGTGCGTGGGGATCCTGTGCCTTTGTCAAGGTGCTTAATTGATGCGCCCTCAAAGCCGCCGCCGCCAACACGGCAACGACCAACACTGTGCTAGCAGTTGCGCGCTTTCTTTCTACTTTCAAGCACGCCCGCTGACAGACTGGTTGTACTCATGTCTGATATACGCGGAGCCATCCTCCTGACATATTTGCCACGCTGCTAATGTTAACACTTGATTAATCAACTGGTGCTGAATAATGTCAAGTTTTTTCCTTATTCTGGTTCGCACCCATTGTTTAGGGGGACCAGAATAATTGAAAGTTTTTTGGCCCGGGTGGAAAATTCAAAAAAAAACTCCACAAATCAATTTTAGTTTAAACAAATCCTCCCCCCCCCCAAACAATCACCCAAAATCCATGTTGACCCCATACCAAATGCAAACAAATTCACCACAGAACCCAAAGCCAGCTGAAACTCTGAAATTTGAAAACCATCCCCAGCCCTGAAACTGCAAACTCTTTATTAAACCGTGCTAAAAAATTGCCAAAAAACAATCAGGACAAGGGTACCCCTCACAGACCCCACTGAACCACAATAATGTGATTGTTTTAGGGGACCACAATAGTGGCAAGCCCCCAGCCCCCCCTCCCAGAAAATAAACTATCACTTGCTTTGCTCAAAAGCATTCCCCTTTCAATTGGTGGCCCACTTGCTTAAAAGCATCCCCGTGCAATTGGTGGCCCACTTGCTTAAAAGCATTCCCCTTTCAATTGGTTGCTCAACCACAGAACCCAAAGCCAGCTGAAACTCTGAAATTTGAAAACCATCCCCAGCCCTGAAACTGCAAACTCTTTATTAAACCGTGCTAAAAAATTGCCAAAAAAACAATCAGGACAAGGGTACCCCTCACAGACCCCACTGAACCACAATAATGTGATTGTTTTAGGGGACCACAATAGTGGCAAGCCCCCAGCTCCCCCTCCCAGAAAATACACTATCACTTGCTTTGCTCAAAAGCTTTCCCCTTTCAATTGGTGGCCCACTTGCTTAAAAGCATCCCCTTTCAATTGGTGGCCCACTTGCTGAAAAGCATCCCCTTTCAATTGGTGGCCCACTTGCTTAAAAGCATTCCCCTTTCAATTGGTTGCTCAACCACAGAACCCAAAGCCAAACCCCCAGTGGTAAGTCTGCTCAGGAAGAAGTGGTTGCAATACTAAAGTAGAATTGCAAAAAGGAAGTGGCTGCAATACTAAAGTAGAATTGCAAAAAAGAAGTGGCTGCAATACTAAAGGAAGTGGCTGCAATACTAAAGTAGAACTGCAAAAAGGAAGTGGCTGCAATACTAAAGTAGAATTGCAAAAAGGAAGTGGCTGCAATACTAAAGTAGAATTGCCAAAAGGAAGTGGCTGCAATACTAAAGTAGAATTGCCAAAAGGAAGTGGCTGCAATACTAAAGTAGAATTGCAAAAAGGAAGTGGCTGCAATACTAAAGTAGAATTGGGCCCCAAAATCCTCCATTGTTTGCACGTCCCAAAAGTGCACCCCCATTGTTTTGGCGCCTCCATTGTTCAGGGGGGAGGGGGGGGGGCCTTTATTAATCAAGTGCTAACATTACAACACAGCCTGCGTGCGTTGCACCCTGAATGCTACCGCTGTGAGTGGTCCATCTTGACCAAGGAAGCCAGTGCTTTGTGGCAAAGATGTTAGTTGCCTGTTTGTAGCTTGACATTCTTGCCGCTTGCAGGGTGTTTTGATGCCTGCGCAGGCACGCACTTGAAAGCTGCCTGGGTAACCTGCACGGTCTCTCATACGGGGCGTGTGACACGTGTGACAGTGAATGCAGGTATTGCCGTGCGTCCGGCGCAGCCTTCGCGATTGCGGCTGCAGGATTGTTTTCGCAACGCGCGTGGGGACGCGGGTCGAGGCCTTCCGTGATGCCTTGCGCTTCTTACGCGACCTCCGGCGCAGAACAGCATCAACACGGGTGACTGGGCTGGAGGTTTCAGCTGAGCCGACGCTGGTGCTCGTACGTGGCCTTGCACGTCTGGCCACAGACGAGTTCCTTGAGCTGGAGCAGCTGCATGCCGGGCCGGTGGCCCGCCTCTGGCCGCTGGACGAGCTGCTTGGGGCTGGCTGCACGGCGTGCGCCATCGTGGCAAGCTGAGCCGCGCGTTGGGCCGCTGCGTGGTGCTTTGCGGCCACAGCCTGGGCTGCGCCGTGGCCCGTTGCCTGGCGCAGCAGCTCCGAGTCTGCGGTGCGGACGCGCGGGGCCTCATGGCCTTGGACGCCCGCACGCCCGCTCCCTGGCCGTCGCTGTTTCCAGCAGCCGAGCTTCACGTGGCAGCGCCGTTGGTGCCCGCGGCGCGTGAGGCGCGTGGGGCGCCTGGGGCGCGTGTGGCACGTGGCCTGGGCCTCGCTGCGGAGCTGGGTGCCCGGTCGTGGCGGCACTTGTTGGACGCCCAGCACCACGATCTGCGCGCAACTGACCTGGCGGAACTTTTGCGCAGCGCCTGGTGGAAGGAAAAGCGTCCAAGGGCCCAATGGTCGCTTCAAATTGGAGGTGTTGAAACAAATATCAGCGGGCTTCAACGGCAAACAGTAAGTTCACGAGCAGAATGTGCAGTTTCTATGTATGTTGTTTTTATGTTGGGGGTGCCAGGGGCAACCCACGGAAGAGAATGGGAAGCAAAAGGACTGCAGTTGACAGAGATGGGCCTGATTTATCTAGATGGCTATGCTCAGGCCGTACCTGGCTCTTATAAAGGTAAGTCACTTCAAAGGACCTGCCAGAGTCAGCCAGAGACCCTGCATTTTGCATTTCGCTGAATGACTTGCTTTTGATACGGAGCCACCTTCAAAGTGGTTGGTGGTTGCATAAATCTCCACCTAAATGATTTCCACCACAGGGTCCCTCATTAGAATGCACACCCAAATCAGATGCCAATATCGACCCCTACGGGATTCCAACCCGACAAAAACATTGGCCGATGCTCCGTTCGCCATGGCGTCCCCCCCGCCACGTGTCCTCGGAGCTTGCGCCTCATGCCGTTTGCGCTTTGTTTTTCTTTTTGTTTCTCCTTGTTTTTCCATTTGCGTTTTTTGTTTTGTGTTTGCGTCCTGGGAATTTATGCTCTATCTCTCTGTATTTATATATATACGAGTATTCGTTTTGATTCGTGTTCCGGTTCCTGTGCGTGTGTGTGTGTGTTGTGTGTGTGTTGTGTGTGTTGTGTGTGTGTGTGCTTTGCCCTTTCGCTTGAAGCTGCCTGTATTCCTTTTGCGTGTTCTGTTTGTGTGCTGTGTGTTTGTGCTTGCATTTGTCAGTTTGTGTTGTGTGATGTTTTGCGAAGTGGGAGTCGCAAGCGCATGGCATGCTCATGGCTCTGGCAAGACGTTAGGTCGAGCTGGACGACTGCTGTGAGGGCCGCCTGCTGGGCCGGACCCTCGTTCGACGGAACCTGACCGGCTAGTCGGATTTTCCATTGGACTTCTTTCCTTAGCGGTTCGGAATCTGGCGTCTGGTTCCTGAAGTGTTTATTTCTAATTATTTGAGGTTATTGGGTTTCCATTTCATCCACTGAAACTTAATCACGTTCTGGATTGCAGGGGATCTGAGGACGGCCCAGACAACTCCGCAGATTCACGTGGAGCGCAAATTCTCAATCCGTGTTTGACAACGGCATCTGGAGCAACCCCCCCTGTTGGGAGAAGAGTACCATAAAAATGGTTGGCGTTGGTTTTCTGCTCTGGCGGCTCCTCTGGTCAAGTTGGAGGGAAGCGGTCCTGGAAAACCTTGGATTGGGGGTCGGCTTTCAAGTTGCGGTCTGTAAGAGCACGTGCACAGACCTTGGAGAATTTCGACTGGGCGTTTCTGACCTCTGTCAGGAGCTAACTGGTTCTTGAGCATTTAATTCTATGGTGTTCCTTTCGGCTAGTACGTTGCTGTTCGATCCAGTTCCAAGCAACAGGTTCTATTGGACCATATTGGATTCTTGCCGTTCAATGTCCAGACCTTTTTTGGTGCGACAAAACGCTCTTACAACACCATCCAGAGGTTTTACGCCTTTTCCGGAAGAAACATATTATGTGTGTGTGTGTGTGTGTTATTGGTAGGACTGGACTCCCCATGCACCCTACCCGTCAGACATGGTCCGTGTATTCGCCATGACCCGGCGTGGTAAATCACTTCTGAAATTTGTTAACCCTTGTTGGTTGGTTGCTTCAAACATCACATTTGGGCAGTTTCATTAGGTGAGTTTTCTTTAGTGATGTTCAGTGCAAATTACAGAGCATCCTGTGGTATCCCAGCGATCGCACTTAGGTCAAGCTCACTCAAGTGATTGCCCCAGGCGCGGGCAAACAATATCGGGAGTTTAGACATGCCAGATTGAGGCCACCAGTATACATGTCCTTTTTGGTTGTTTGGGTTCGAAAACAGATGGTTCTGGTTGACCAGGGCCATCTATTTTCCCAAAAGGACACTAATGACCACCAGCCCCTTGCGTTCCATTGATTAGCGCTGCTTCTTTGGTGCCATCAGCGCTTGTCTAGAGGCTGATGACACCTGTTCGATCGCTCCAGCTATTTCCGTTGCTTGCTTGAGTGTTTTTTTTTGTTTTTCTGTAAATGATGCCCGGTTTCAGAACGGTTCTTGCAAATCCGATGCTTGATGTCAGCTGGAAGCCCGTGTCAATTGCCTGGAATGATCGGGGAAGCTGCAACTAGGGTTCCAACCATATGTCCAGCCTTTTTTGGGTTGTCGATCTTCCCTTATGTTTTTGGTAAATAGACAAGTTTTCTCGAGCTCAGAACTTCTTCCGGGAGCTTGGGCAATTTTGCAGGTTTGGCCTGCAGAATGTTCGCTGCGCGCGAGATGAGGAGATCGGTATCGGGGCCGGTCAACCGAGTCGGCTCGTTGAGCTCCAAAAGCCCAGTCGGATTTTCCGAGTCAACGAATCGACCTTTGGACCTTTGGGGTTGTCTTGCCGTTTTTTTCCGTGGAGCCATGGACATGGCGGCATGAGCAGTCACCGAGCAGCAGTGCTGGGCTGGGCCCAGTCCCCAGTGCGAACTACATGCCGTGCGCAAACCGCCCCAAAATATTGACGATCTTCCCCCACGTGTCCGGTGGGGGCATGTTGAAGCCCAAAGCAACTCGAACCCCCGAGAATCGGAATGGAGACACCAAGACTGCGGGGCAGAGCCTTGCAAAAAGGACGAACAACCCGGATCCTCGCGGCCGACGAAGCACAACCGTCATGTGCTTTGGCCTGCAGGAAATCTGTCCATTGATTCGGACCTCCTGAAAGCACCGGGTGGGGATGCAGCGGCAACTTGAATCCAAGCCACTGCTGCACAGCGGCAGTTATCTGCTCGGCGCTCTTGGAGCCAGGATACTAATCGGTATGGACATAAAATGTCCGAACTCTGGCCCCAGATCCGGGAAAAGTTACGGAGGCGCAGTGAGGGTGGATGTGATCGCTCGTCTTTCTGGTCCAAGGGTTCATCCCCGTGAGTTCCCTAAGTTGCCGTTGACGTTCTTCAGGGTCCAGGTGAAAGGCTCGCGACCTGTCCACATTTCTGGTGCCCAGGCGGCGTTGAATCGCCTGCGCCACGTTCAGCAGCTGCGTCATTCCAGTGTTCCTTCCAGCCCGCAAGCGGGCGAGTGCCGGAGCTCTGCTCAGCACCAGCCAGTTCAGGCGGTTCAGGCAGCTGTGGCTGCCATCAGTTCTGCTCGTTGATTGGTGTAGACTTGTCAATGCGCCTCGGCAGAGAATGCACCTTCCAGTTTTTTGCCCAATGAAAGCTCTCGGGACTTTGCCCTATGTTCTGGCTGGTTTGGGGCAGCTTTCGGAAGGGTTCCGAAGGGGGTTGCGGGGCTGTTGGGAACATAACCTGGGCTTATTTTGTTGAGGTGAGTTGACACGCGACCGTAAATACGTATGGCAGCCTGTGTAAACCCTTGCGTTGGTTGATGCTGGGCTTTGCTTAAGACTTATTTGATTTGTCTTGGTATCTGATGTCATCTCCGATCACCTGCGTGCCTGTTAGAGATTCAATTTGCGCCTCTTGCAGCGCAAGTCACCTTTCATCAAAACCCTGAACTGGCTCACCATGGGCCAAAGTCACCGTGTGATTGTCGAACTTTGTTCACAGGAAGTCTAGTGTCCCATCTTTCCGTGGAGTGTTTCAACCGCAGCGATTGTGCAACTTGGCGGTCTTGCTGTCTCTCTCAGGTTTGCTCTCCCCTTGGCGTCGGCTAGTTCCATCAAATGTCTGGATCCCCAAAGACGCCTTCAACATTCGGTCTGCCCGGGATCATTGTAAGTCATGGTCTCAGGTGAGCCATGTATTTCTACCTGTACCCTCAAAGTTCCCAATAAAGTTTGCCCGAGCTGTTTTTTACAAACACCCCATGCTCTGGTTTTCGCATGTATGGGGGTTGATCCAAAGGTCCTTTGGGCTGACCATTCGGGCAAAAGAGATGACCCTTCACCGGGAAATGGGGGAGCAACTCCCAGGTTATTTTGCCTGTCACCACATGGGGACGGATCCCATGGTTGTTTTGCCTATGGTGAAATGAGTTCCTTCACTGGGCTGTTCTCAGATCTGCCAAAAGTGAATAACTTTTAGTGGGCTACATGGAGACTACCACTCTACCAACTCAAAAACAAATGCGAAAAAGCTAAGTTGAAGCAACCAACCATTCTGCAGATACCCGTCAGAGTGCCACCAGGAGGTGGCCATGGCACTCCAGGCATGAGAAAGTTCGAGACGGGTGCGGAGCGGAGGGTCCCGCCGGGTTGCAACCCCCCAAGCCCCAAATGCGGTGCGTGGTTTTCTTGTTTTGTGTTGCTTCTTGTTGTTTGGGGGGGGGGAGCTTTTCTTGTTTTGTTTGTTTGTTTTTGTTGGGGGGGCGGGTTCGAGGGACATCTACGTGAAACCAACATGGGGGTTGTTTTGAGACACACCCAAAGGTCCGAAACGGGACCTCGTGAACGGGAAAATTGGATCTCATGTTGTTTCGAGGATTGCCGCCATTGGACTCGAAGTCATTCTCCACTAAGAAGGTGTTGGGGTACCTTTTGGCTGTTGACCATGATTCATTTGTGTGGGCTTGAACTATTGTGATTCATTCATCTCATTTGCTCCACTTATCGTATTACTATCATTTCATTATGTCGCTATTCGCGAACGATCAAGCGGTAATACGGAGCTTCAGTGATAGGAATGGTTCTTGGAATGCAACTTTATCTCTGCTTCCGCCCATGTACAACCTAATAATCGAAGATCATTAGGAATCGGATAGTTGGCATATGATGTGTCTTGAAAGTCTGAGATTTCATTGACGGAAGGTATGAGAGAAATAAGCACAACTCTAAACGCGGACCTTGAGTTCTTTCCTGCCTGGGTTGGGCAAACTTTGTTCAATCAGGTAGTCTTTGGTCCCCTTCCAATCAAGCCCGAAGCAAGACAGTGCTAAAAAAACGTTTTGTAAACACGTTGAAGCCGTGGTCTGCCTGAGACCCGCACAAACTTCAAACAGAGTTAGTTGCAGGATGTTGCAGGAGTAGCACATTCGCCATGTGGCATTCCCGGTCGCCAATTTGCCACCCTCAAACTTCCCTAGGGACGTCACCAACCATTTTTTTGGTTGGCAATATGTTCCATTTTTAATGTGTACTTTGAGGGTCTGGGGTACATCCATAATGCCAAAATATGTTGGAGATTCCTTCCCTGAGATGTGCTTTAGTTTGCATGTTGTCTTGTTGTTTCAACGTTTGATGTAGCATTTCGTCGTGTGTTTGTTGTTTCTGCTTGGTGTTGTTTTATGATGCTTTATGTTGCTTTTGGTTCCACCCCCCCCCCCCCCACCCCCATTTTTTTGTTTTTTTACCTTAGACGTAGCTCCCAAGCGTGAGGCGGCCGAGCTTGAACGCGCATCCTCTCCGGAGGACTTTTGCCTATGGGGCGAGTGTAGAACTTTCCAGAGCAAACCCTTTTTGGGTAACCACTTTAGTGTTCGGCCGAGTGAGTAAGTTGTTGATAACCTAGATTCTGCAGCCGCTGAGTCCCGTTCAGTGGAGTCAAGCTTAGTTGGTTATATTATAGTTCAGGCTGACCGCTTACTTGGCAACCGACATCCAAGTACTTTTTGCATCTGTTTTCGGGGTCAAAGTCAGCTGGGTTGATTCTTTTGGGGGTTACTGGTAATTTCACGCCAAACGCCAGCACGTTCTCCAAAGGCCGCACGGCATCAGTTGCTTGGATTCAACCCTCAAATCCCTTATTGTTTGCTTGGCGGTTTGGAACCAGCGAATCGTGCGGTTCCTTACGTTTTTGGGTTTTCACGGTGTAGCGGTCAGGGGATCTGAGGACAGCCCAGTTTGGCGAGTTCCCAACTAAAAGAAAGAGAAAGCGCCTCCCCTTTTCTAGCAACATCCTGGGCACAGTACTCAGTGCTTAGAGTCCATGTTTGGTGACCGCCCCATGTGTGCTGCTGCTCTGGAGTTGTCGTTATTGATTCCCAGTATGGTAACCATGACCCGTACTCCATATCCGAACTGTTTCACCAGTCGCTGACATGGGGAACCACTTGTTTGGTCAGCCAGTCCAGAGGATAAAGGCATGCACGCACCCCTGTGATGGGACTCCAATTAAGATAAACCATGCTGATGTAGCAGGCAGAAGGCCCATCCGACTAAGCGGATTCTTAGTTTTTATCTACTCCGAGTGGACTTGCAGACTCCACGTCAAATACGTAGATGCTTTTGGCTGGTAACCTTCAGTCATCCCGCAGCCAAGCCCCAGTTCCCGTGGACACCAGCACAGTTCTAACCTTTTGTCGAAATGTGAGCAGTGCACGTTGGCATATTAATTCATACATGTTGCCTTTGCTTCTGACAAGTAATTGCCTCCCCTGAAAATGGTTTGACAAACGCAAGACAGGAATTCCGCTGTTGCTTTATTTCTTGGCGGCGATGCTGACCAAATCTGCACGTTTGAGGTACTAAATTGTGAAGATCCAAGTCCAAGCCATCTTCATCCGGGGCTGGGACCATCTATGGAGAGACGTTCGATTGGGAGGAATAGGGGCCCTGGTAGTTGCAAGTTGGTCCGTCAAAAGAATGCAATGGGTTCTGCCACAAATCCAGATGTGTCTCATAGCCGGAATCCGAACCCTCAACACGGGTGAATTTCCTGTGGGTGTCCCTTTTAAACCAAACCCAACAAGGGTACACCCCGCAAGAAAGCCGAGCCACCCATGGTTGGGCGCCCGAAGTGACCCAAGTCCACGATCATCTTTCCGGATCATCTTTCCGTTTCCAGCTGCAAAGCCAAAAGGAAAACCACAAGCAAAAACAGTGGGACTTCCGGGACCTCCATGTTGACCCAAAACAGCAGGACTTGACGAAACACACCCCCTCTCATCAACTTGCTTGTCCTCAGGGAATGACCCAGGGTTTTGGGAATGAATTGAAAGATTCTCTTCAAGGAAACCGGAGCGGATGGTGTTGTTTTCGAGGTCAGTTCCCTGCCTATCGAACCAGCAAGCCCCCTCATTTGTTTTGTTGTCTTTTTTTTTGGTTCTTTTGGAGCCTTGAAAAAACCACATCAGCCACAATTACGCCTTCTTAATTCTTTACATGGTTCTGGGTAGACCATTCTGATTCTGACTCAAATTGGACACACAATCAAAAAGCCAAATCTACTCGGCCAAGGAGCGCCTGAGAGCACCCCTGACATACACCATGGGGGATCCAGTGCCCGGGCGCTCAGGTGACTCAGGGGAGGGGGGGGGGCGCCCTCAGAACACAGGAGGCTTTCCAATTCTGGAATTCCGGGGTCCCAACCAAAACTGGTATATATATATATATATATGGTCCGCCCCTATATATATATATATATAAAGGTAGACTACATACTCGCTCGATGAGTTCATGGACGTCAAAGATTTTGGAGAGACCATTTTAATGATGAAAGTTATGGTTGTCAATTTGGGGTGAGTCTCCTTGTGGCTTTGGATGTTTCAAGGGGAATTATAGGGCACCCGTCAAAACCCGGGTGATGAAAGGGGCTGAATAAGTACTACCTGGACCCTCAAACTACTCCAAACAAAACGAACGCCGCCCCTCAAATACTGGGGCACTATCGACCATGTTTCTTGGTAGTTTGAGCGTCCGTTGCTCCACTCGTGGCTGCTGATTTTGAAAGACAGACTCACTGAAGTTCACCTTTTTGAAGCCAGCTGTCGAAGACGGCATTTCTATTCCTGATCTTCACTCGATTCTTGTGAAGCAATGCTTTCCGAAACGCGCTGCGGAAGGACCTGCGGGAAGGATCCCACGCGTTTCCGGAAGGGTTGGTAGCTCGAACTATTTGCCCCAACTTCATCGTCCCAAGTGGGGGAAGCCGGTGGTAGTCCTTGTTTCCAGATTAAGGTGCCATTTCAGGGATTTTGTTTGTTGCGCGGATTCCGTCTGTCAGGTGGGGTGAAGTCGTCAGCAACCAGGCGTTGGCTCTGGGGATGGGGCCCAGGGATTGACCCCTTTTTGTCCTTCTGGGTGATCGGAAAAGGCTGATGATTCCTGGTTGATCATTTTTTCACAATAGGGCCATCTAATCGCCCGGCAACCCTTAGTTTTCTCCAATCCAAAACACCAATGAAGGGAAAACTGAAAGTGATGAGTACAAACCCTTCAAAACGTCATGTTTGGAGGAATCTCCTGCGGAGTGGACCCCTGGAAAGAAGGTCCATCAAGCCACAATCGAAACTGAAGACGAAAATTAGACAGTCAGACAGGCAGTCCCAACCAGAGTGGCGCGAAACTGTTTGATTCTTTACATTGAGTTGGGAAGCTAATTTTAAGATACATGACCTTTGCTTGGTGCTGGTGTTTGAAAAGGACCCACTAGGTAAGCATTTGGAGGCTTGTTGGGTTCCATGTTCAACAACAATCCTCCAGTTACTCCAGTTTGCAGGGATCATCGACCCCTTTTTACGGGGTTCATTGTGATTCGAGCGAGGAGTGAGACCCCAGCGGTTGGTTGACTTTCCATTTCCGTGTCGAGGGGTGTCGAGGGAGCTCTTTCTGAAAGGAAAATCCAAAGGACACTTTTCGAGATGAGGGGGACTCTCATTTCAGGAATCCATCGAACTGGTACTCGGGTCTGGTTGTTTCAACACCCGCCACTTGGTCTGGGTAAGGGAACTAGCCATATGCTGTCCAGAGAGTCTTATGAGTGTGGGAACCGCTCACTCTAGGACAAAAAGGGTGAAGTAGTCACGAGAGTCTCATTTGCAGAAACGGGCCAGTCTGGCCACCATGAGGGATGGGACTCCAGCTTTAGCTCTATGTTCCCAACCCGTTGGTGTGGATTGGGATTCCCCCCCCCCATCCCGTTTTTGTTCAAACCCCGGTTTGGATTGGTATTGCTTGGTCCTTGGCCGCTTTTCCCAGTTTGATAGCTGCCTGGCCGTGTTTGGATCCCGGCCGCGTTGTGTTTTCGCAAACCAGGAGCCCACCTGTGGCTTCAAGCTCGCCTTCTCCTGCTGCCCCTGCCTGGTGGTGGGCTGCAGGCCCGGAGGAAAAAAACAAAACGCGAGAGGCGGTTCGGACGGCGGTGGACGGTTGCAGGATTCGTGTTTTTTTCCTTTTTTGAGGGGAGGGGAATGAAGGCCCTCGGAACCAGGCATCCGGTTCCCTTGAGTAGCTTTTAGCAGGTGAAAGGCGGCTGGGTTTCCGAATTTCACGCGTGAAAGGTGGTTCACTTTTAGCGGGGAATCTGAGGACTCAGGTTTCTCAATGGATCAGCTTCAAACCTTTTCATAGCATCGGCATCAAGGAGAAACTGGCAGCCTCGAATGAACTACATGACGGCTGGGAAGGAAGACATTAGTGGAGTTCGGTTGGTGTTCTCCCTGTGGAAGCCCTGTTCACTTACTGAAAGCGAACCGACCGAATCGAATCTTTTTGGTTTCCCTGATTTGGTCCATTTTTACCGGGCTACCCTTTTGAGAATTCCTTTTGGGAGACCCACACCTTCACCAGTTGCTCACCCCTATAGATTAACATGGGAACCCAAACAAACAATTGTAGAGGACACCTTTTGGGGCTACACCACGGCCGGAAGCCGCTGGTTGCAATTGGGCACAATGCGAATGCCTGAAAAGAGAGCCAACGCACGGGTTCAGCCGCTTCAAAGTCAAATGTCTGATCCGGAATCCAGTTCAGCTCTATCCCGCACGGCGGAAACACCCCAAACACGGAACCCAAGAACCCCCCAAGAGATGAAGCTCCGTTTTGGTGAGCCCTTAAAAGGCGCAGTTGCCCAGTTTGGACCCCGCCAACTCGAAAACCGCACTCCAGTGCGAGCTAATAATCCATGATTGATTTCTCAACAAAGATGCTAAAAAGGGGATGGGTATTGCTTGTTGTTTGTTGTTTCTACCCCTCCCCCCAAAAAAAGGAACATGTCCACGCATATTTGGCTGTGGCAGCCAAGTGAGTGCAGACCTCCCGCCCGCGCAGATCTCCGGACGCAAAGCGAGCTTGGAGGACCTTCCTGTGCTCGCCGCTGGGCAAAAGGATTGGCTGGGGAGCAAGTTGAGCTGAGGATCCATGCCTACTGTCAGGGAAGTGGATTGGTTTGTGGTGTTGGGGATTTGAGGCTGGTTCTTGAAGTGTAAATGGCAAGCTATCCGTTGACAAGGTCTTAAAACCCAAGACCTGTTTCCTGAAACTTGGGAATGGCCAAAGCTTTGGCCATGTGGGGGTCCAACCACGGCCGACCCCGAAATCCAGGGACTTTCCAAGCAACACATTGTTGCTGTTTTGTTGTTCCGCTTCATTGCCAGAAGATCCAGGAGGTGTTGTGTTATCGCACCTTTGCAGACAAGCAAATCTTGCACGCTCCGCTCCTCCCCCAGCTAACTTAGCTAACTTAGACATCAAGTGATACTTGGCTGAACTTGCTTTAGCAGTCACTTAGACATCAAGTGACGTCGTTTAGCCCAAAATCGATGTGCCGGCAATTGGCCGGCCATTGGGGGGAGCTGTTGCTTTCTATTTTTGATCACCAGCTCGCTGGACCACAAACAGAACTGCTCATTCATGTTTTTCTTCAGCGCGTACTGTTGCAATGCCCTGACACTATCATCTTTGCACGTGGCTTTGCCCAGGGTGTCCTTCATCCTGTCCGTGATTCAGGCCTTGACGTGGCGCTCGCCGGAAGTGGTTTGCAGTCAAACTGGGCTACGCATATACTTGCGCATGCGCCGGCATGGGTCATTCGTGAATAGGTGCGCCTATGTTGTTGAAAGCCGGGGCGGAAGCATCCAATTTGCTTCGGCAGGTGCTGATCCTGGTCATGGTGATCATTCTCGACGGCGGCATGGTCTCCTATGAGGACCACTGAAGGATGTGGGTCTGTTTTTTTGTTTTTTTTTTTTGTTTTTTTTTTTTGGTTGTTTTTTCTTCTTTTTTCGGGAAACCCTTGTCAACCCGAAAGTAGTTTTTTTTTTGGGGGGGGGTCCCCAAAAAAGATACCCATGTGAAGCTGTCACGAGATGTTGCTCATTTGCAATTGTGATCCCCTTTGTAACTCCAGTGGATAACAGTGAATATTGACCGTTGCGCTTCTGCGTTTCTGTTGCGGTACCTTCCCGTTGGCGGGTTGACAAAAAGGTCTCTGTTTGTCTTTTTAAGGGCACCCTCCAAGCTGGCTTCTGTTTTGCTTTGCCTCAAAGGAACTTGAATAGATTTCTTGAAGAGTTGGACCCACCTCAGACGTGCTGAACCAATTCATCACCGAATTCTGATGTCCACCATGTTGGGCTCCGCCCAAATCTTACTGCCCCACTGGAAACGAACAAATATAGAACCATCGTAATTTAAAGAACCAGCTACTTCCCCTGGGAATTTGATGTCCTGAAAAAAAGTCGGATCCCTGGAAAGAATGGACATGGAAGCTTCCAAAAAAATGGAACCCTAACCGGGGCGGGCTGGAAACAACAAAATGAGTCGTGATCAAGACCTGGCATTAAAGTCGTCTACCCAGAACCATGCTTCAAGAATTTTGAAGGCGGCGCTTAAAGGTTGGCATTTTCTAAAGAATGAACAAGGTGGCACCCGTTAATTGGGTTATCCCTAGAAACTTTCACCCGAGAGTCGGTTTTGAGTACGCGGCTTCTCGAAAAATGGAGCCCTATTCCTTGGTGCTCTCAACTACCCCCCCCCCCCCCCCACTTCCAGCGAATCCAAATGAGCGACAGCCGCGTGAAACGGTGAGGAGAATCCCATGTTCGGCCCCCACTTCCATCGCTTGGACGCCGCGGGCGCCAAGAATGCCGCGCGAAACCCGGTGGCATTTTGTTCAGCTCCAAGTCCTTGGCGGTTTGATGGCAGGCGCCACGGCTTGTTGGGGTAAAACGGATTCCAAATGGTTGTTCCCCCACAATGAATAAGGTCACCAAAAGGAAACCGGGGTATTTCCCAATGGTTCTTTTCCTCCCACAATTTGTTGGGTCACCAAAAGGAAGCCCGAAATCCGTTTTTTGGGGGGGGATCCTAAAGACGAGCTACCCATTTCGTCAAGGCCAAACTTGGACCCCCACTTGAAAAGTGGCGTCAAAGCCACAGGATCCTCTTGAAGTGGCTTCGGGAAACTAAGCGGCAGACCAGCTTTTCGGCGTGCCCGGATTTTCAGGCATGCCTCAGTTGGTTGCGTTGATTGGAGGTTTCGGGATTTGGACTCCTGGCTCTTCTGGGGAAATGGGAAATCGGCCAACCTCACCTTCGAACCACCGATTCGGCTCCAATTCACGGGTCCAAGAAGCCTGACACATTATGATGGAAAGCCTCGGGTATGGTATGCTGGGCTGGTATGCTGGTATCTTGCGACAAGAACTTTGGAACTTTCGGCCAACCAGAAAGCCTCCAGCTTCCTTCTAAATTGCAGAGTTTCAAGAGCTTTTGCTTTGCAGACTCGCTCAGTGCACCAAAGTGCGCGGGCGTCTTCTTGTTGCGCTTGTTGAGGGGGGGGCCCACGTCAGGCCCCAAGTGCTGAGTGCGGCTCAGACCGTTTCTTTTTCTTCTTCTTTCTTCTCCGCTTCGGACTTTTCGGACGTGAGGCGAAGATCGTGTACCAAGGGCAGTGGTGGCGCCTGGCCTCGGCCCAGAGCTCAGCGAGGATCGATCCGAGGATCCGGGCCAAGGCTTGGCTAGGGGTTGGATTTTTTCCCAGGGAACCTTCTTGGGGGTTGATCAAAAGGTCCGTTAAACATGGGATGACCATTGGGGAGATCCACTAAAAAAAAGTGATACTGTACGGTTCCAGGTCTGCAAAAGTCGCATCCGGCAAGATTTGTAGTGGGTGAAGGACTGGCCTGCACTGTGCATGTCTGGACAGGCCACGATGCTACATGCCGGGTGGCTACACTTGGCCCGGGACCCGGGGCTTCGCCGCTTCAGTCTTCGGGGGATGCGGTGATCGATTGGTCGATTGGAATGCTACCAACGCCCACAGCTTGATCAATGTTTCCTTCGGCCCTAAAATGACCATGGGTAACTTGTCCAATTCAGCGGGGAAGTCTCTTCCATGTTTGCCGGACCTTGCTAAACCAGGCACATAGACACAGAGGGCTGGGGAAGGCTTGTAGGATTTCCTCGGATCGCATTCAAATCATCCCGTATCTTGGTCCAATAATTGGGTCTACTCTCTTTGGGTGGAAGACGAAACCCATCTTGAAAAGGAGAATCATGCTTTTCTAGATAAGGTCTCCTTGTTTTCTTTTTGTTTGAAGTGGCTTGCCCCCGTCTCTCGGACAAATCGCTGGGAAAACCACCCGGGCCACCCTGGCCCCGGCGGGGGGGGGGGGGGGGAGGCCTGGGGTGTGAGGCCGGGAACCTCTTGGTGCAGATCCGCACCGGCGTGCAGCTGGAGGTGATGTGGGGCGCCCCCGTCCGACTGCCCCAGCGAGATGGGCTCGGGTGGAAATGGGCGGCATCCCAGGTCCGCGTTGGTCCGACAAAAATCGGGCGCCTTTTGTGCGTCTTCTTTCTAGGGGAGCCAACCAAACAAAGGCTGTTTTGCTTTTGGCTTCCCTTTAAAGCCAACAGCGTAGTGGTGGAGCTTGATGCGGCTTGGCGAAAAAGAAAGCGGATTTGCGGCGTTCCCTGGTGGGGCTCCCAAGGAATCCGGACCTGGCCACTCCTCTCCCCTGGTGGTCTGCCTTGATTCTCTCCGGTCCTTTCCCATGTGGACTCCTGTGATTTCTTAGAACTGCAGGGCTGGAGAGGGACTTCATGAATCAGAGCTTTGGTGTTATTCAAAAGGGCCGAGCCTTGAAGGGGGGTACCCTTTACTAGCTTGTCAAACCTGGTTGTAACAAGAAAACGGCCGTTTCCGGCCAGCCGTTTTGTTTTTATATTTATTTCTGGACTGTCAACCCTTGGGACTATGCAAGGAGTTAGTATGGCAAGAGTATTGGCAGTTTAGCCTTTGGCCTCTAGGCAAGACGAAGCGCCAGTGCGCTCTTTGTCTTTGGTCAGAGCTGTCACCGTGGCCGAACGTTTTGGAGCAAGTGTTTTCCTACATTAGCTTGACACCTGATCTCTGAACGGAGAGACGTGCAGCGGTGGATGCACAAACAAATCGACTCACTTCCCCTTAGGACAGCCGTGAAAACGGCGTGTGGCCACGAGCTCGTGGGGCTGTTTCATGTTTTTGATTGGGGCTCGACTTTTTCCTCGAAAGTTTCTCTTGTGTTTGTTGTTTCATGGTGCTCTTGGGTTTCTCCCTCTCTCTAGGGTTTCTGTTGGGTTTCCTGGTGTAAATTCCCCCACAACCATAGCAAAACGGCTGGTCGTTTGGCAGCTCGGGAACCGAGGTTTCGGCCGTCGCCTCCCATTGCATGTCCCGGATTCATCAATCTGGTGGACTAATTACTAAGGGAGTCCCTTTCAATTGGAAGCCCATACAACCATCCAGAAGAGTATTTTTTTAGGGACACCGGCCCTGGCAATTCCCAGTTTAACCTCCTACTTGCCCAAAGCCAACCTTTCAACCTTTATCTTGTTTCCCTGATTTGGACAGTTTTGGTTGTGGAACCAAAAGATGATCACCTTGTATTTCTGGGTCCCTAAAGAGCAACTGAGCTTTTCAACGGGTGCCCCAAGGAAAATGGCTGGTTACCTATGTTGGTAGCTGGGATCCACTAAGTTGGTTTTGTGTTTTCCCACCGAAAGCTTTGAGTTTTCTCCATTGACCATCCTTTTTCAGCTCTCGGTGAGGCGTGGCTGGTGATCTACTTCGTGTCAGGCATCTATGCCAACCTCTTGAGCTGCGCTGAGCCGCCCAGTCCGAGGTTTTGTCGAATGGATCGATGAAGCCTCGTTTCTCGCGTTTTTGCGGGGGCAAGGGGAAGGTCCCTTTGAGATTTCAACCAACCCCAAAAACCGGCGCCAAGTAGTTCGGCCTGTTTTTCTCCATGGCCGCTGGGATTATGTGTTCGTTTTTGCGAGGGAGCGGCCTTTTGGCTTTGAAGCGGTGCGCAGAAGTGTCCCGAAAGGACACCAAAGGGCGATGCACAGTTTTGATTATGGTTTTTCTATTTAGTGAAAGAAAAAAGGTCACCCTTTTCAGCTAAACCCATACTATGTGCAATGGTCAAATAACAGGGATGGTCATCAACCTGCTCCTCAATAACCAATAGAATAATTCTTGCTAATTAGGCCAGATAAGCATTTGTTAGCATGGATCACGTGGCACTGGCTATTTCAATAGTTCGAAAACTCTCAAACGTGGTCAGTACTTTAAGTAAATCATGTCCACCATAGGGTTCAACCAGTAAACATGGCACCCATGTTGGCGTTTCCGCAAATAGGGAGCCCCCAAAACGAGCGTTTGTCCAATGGTTGTTAAATCCCAATAGGGTCTATCAAGGGAGCCTTTGGTTTGGCTCCAGCAATTGCGGAGGTCCTTGTCAACCATTGCCTTTTACAAGGCTTCATTTCCCTTTGCTGCCACTCCAAACAAAAATACCCTCAAGAACGGAGGGAATCACCCATATGGGTGTGGCTCAAAATTAAACAGGAGGGGTTACGCAAGTTTTGGTCCATGTTTCCACTTACCAGGGTTGATTTTGGAACCGGTATTTTGAGCCACAGCCATATGGTTTCTTTCCAACGGAAGCAAAGAGATGGGTCGCGGGTTCTTAGGTGCTGCACCCAGAAGTGCTGGGGGTGGGCGCGCCCCTGGCCTCAGAGAGTTCCGCGTCGAGTCTGGCGCGAGGGTTCCCCCCGCGATCGTCGAGTCTTCCATCAGAAGCTATGCATGTTTCGTGATTGGTAACAAGGGATGCAAGGAGACTTCAAGTATGGTCTTAGCTTTCAGGCCACTTGATTTGTGGTTCAGAGTATGCTTTTGTTGTGCTTTCCCCTGTTGATTCTAAAGGGAATCTATCACTGGAGATATGCTTATGGTTGTTCCGGGGACGTATTCGGAGGCTTTTGTTTGGTGCCCATCAAAAAAATGGTTAACCCCTAAAAGGCTTCGCCTAGCAGGACCACTGGCTAGGGAAGTCTGCGAAAACCACAAAGGGGAGCCCTTTCGAAACCCAACTGTAGTTGGGGTTTCCGCGCTTTGCCTGACAGCCAAGACCGCCTGAGTGCTGTTTTGTTAAGCACCCGCCAAAGTGCTTTGGCAAACCCAGCCCGTACACTGTTTGCTTCATTGGCAATCTTAGGCACCGTGCTGCTTGTGTCTGGATTGTTGCCCCGTCACTGGTTTTGTTCAGGTGCTTATACGTCCACGCTATGTTGGTTGGAGTTTCATTGACGCTGGTGCTGTTGTCCCAGTGGGGCGTTTTTTTTTTGCTATTTTGGTGGGTTGTCTGAGAAATTCAGTGGATCCCGGTTACCCGTATAGGCAGTCAGCCATTTCCTTGTGGTTTTCAATTGGTAGTTCTCTTGCTTTTCTAGGTAACGAGGCACTTGGAACCCCTAGCATATTCTTAGAGACAAACCCTTCCATGCCAGCTCCGATCGAATCGGATCATTCGCCTTCTGACATATCGAGCGAGGTCTGGATGCCTCTGCGGTTTGATTGGAGGTTGGCTGAGGCCTCAGAGCACCTTGGAGTCGAGTTCTGGAGGCTCCATTTTATGAGGCCCCTGAAGCTTTCAAGACCCGAGCCCTCCAATCACCTCGGAGGTGGTTGGGGGTCTCAAAGCCAAGTTGTTTGAAGGCCCTAGATCAATCGGGAGGTTTTGGGGGGTAATTTAGAGTTAGTGGAATTGGGGAGCTGGGACTTCGACTGGAGATCTTCAAATTTGTGTCCCGTTTTATGGGGACTAGAGAAACGGAATTGACAGACCCCAATCCCCCCCCCAGCTGTACTGCTTGGAGTTGGGGATCTTAGAGCTTCAGAGACTTCGCCACACAGATGTACTGCTTGGCGAGATCGCCCACTTCTTGGTCTGTCCAAAAGCAGGCCAAAGAAAGGGGGGCTCGTATGTCTTTGCCATGAGTCGGATTGCAAGCCTGGCTGTGAGTGCCATTCGTGTTTCCTGCGCGAGAAGTCCTCAGCCGCCGGGTGTCTGCCGGCCTGTACTGGGAGGTCGTGTTGCCTGACTTTGGCAAGTGACGAAATCGAAAGTACTTGATATTCATGCATGTCGATGCTGCATGCTGTATGCTGGTTGGCAGAGTTGATTGTGGCGACGCAACGGCATGTCAGTGTCCAAGACACCTCACGTACTGGATCGTGTGAAGCGATACTTGACGCGATGCTACATGTTGCAGGCAAAGCGATTATTTGAGAGCCATGATTCATGGATGTGTCGCGCTAGCGAGAGAAGTAAATGGGTTCATCGCCGCGCAACATGAACCGGACAGTTTGCAAAGTGTTTCCAAAGAACTGGCCCAAACCAAGGATGGTTTCACGTCCCGCTTGTATTGCCAGGATTTGTGCGTCGCAAAAGGACACACATCATGTGTTTAGGTCCCTGGAGCAGCAACGTGTCGCTGAGGCTCAGCTTCCTGTTCATCACCTGGAACCAAACTATGCCGCCTCAAGCTGAGAGGTTTCTCAATGAATGTGTGGTAAGGGGGGTCCTAACACTCACTTGCCCAAAGGGAATCGACCTTTGGTCTCCCTGATTTTGTCCAGTGTTTAGTCATGGAATCAAACAGTTCCTTTGTTTCTGGGTCCCAACTGACAAGCGAGAATGCATGTTATCCCCCCAAAAAGAAGAACATCAACTAAACAAAATGTTCAGTAAATGAATAAATACATTGCAAAATATGAAACAAGATAAACATGTCTTCAGCCAGTTTGGTGTTTGGTCAGGTATCAACCAAAACGGTTGCGCATGTCCCATGGTTGATATTCGGAGAGTTTGGCCTTTCCGATGATGAACGCAAACAGGAGGCCTCTAGTGGGCATTAGTCAGACACCGCAAGTTGAGAGTGAAAGGAGTTTACCCTCCCTCCTGACATGGAACCTGACAAAGTCCTCAAGAGTTGTGACTCACTTCTCGAATTTTTGGACTTTATACTTTTCAGGGGAAGCCCCTTTTGGTCTTTTGGTGGTAAATAACAAAAGAGGGAGAAAAAACACGTTTGACTTTTTCTGGGCCGCCCACTCAGGAAGTGAGATTATCTTGCAGGTACGTACCCTGCCACAGTTGCTATATTCGGAGGAGTCTAAGCGTTTGTTGCAGATTGTGAGCAGAGGTGTTTCTAGGGTTGGCGCAATGTTGAACATCTGGATTCAAAAGCTCATGTTGCACTTGGCAATCTATCAGTCCCGACAGTTACCATCTGAGGGGCGACGTTCGAATGCGGAATGCCTGGAGCCCGGCGTAGCGATTGTGTGCTTCGGCGGCCCACGTTTCCCCCAAGGTCTACCTGGGAACGCTCTCAAAATTAGTGTTCTTTCGGTTCCCCTAACTCTTTTGATGAGTGAGTGTCCTATCCGCTTCAAAGCATTCCTTTATCGGGGCGGGGTGACCGAAGTTTCTGTTTCCTTTTTTGATGGTTTATTCAACATTTGGGGGAGGTTGGCTGGGTCTTCGCCGGAGGCCTGAACTTGAAGAGGTCCTGGAAGATCAAGGTGAAGGAAGCATCAGACAGTCGTGGTGTTTGGAGAGGACACGGGGGGACAAGCCGATTTTATCCATGTCCTCTTCGAGAAAGCAAAGAATATGTAACTCATTTGTGTTTGGTCAAAAAGGGACCCTCCCCCCAAAAGCAGGTTTATCCTCTTGATTTACCTTAAAACCAGCCTCAAAAGGGGTGCCCTCAAAAAGCACGCGCACGCACACGGGTGAGCAGCGCCCAAAACCGCCATTGGCCATTTTGGTAGGTGGTTCTACTACCTGGTTTAATTGGTGTGTAGCGATGCCTATATAAACCTTGTTCCCATGTTGGTGCCAAACATAAATGGGTGAAACGGGCTCTGCTCATGCGAGTTTGCTTGCCCCTTTACAAAGTCAAGAACCAACCCAAAAGGGTGGATTCTCCGACAAAGACCCTCCCAAAAGCGAATGTGAGGCGCAGATCAGCTCTGTGCTGGTGTCCATCGTTCTCATCATTCTGCCGGAGCCTCGGATCGGTGAGCGAATCCCTAAACCTCACTTTCCCACTTCAACTTGTTTCACGTTTTGGGAAGGTCAGTTCAATGGCAAACAGAAAGTCTGGGCTTCTGAAAATTGGAGAACTGACCCTGGCTGGCATCTTGTGACAAATCCATACTGCTGTGATGTTTACTGGTGGGCACCCTCAAAACTGATCCCCGTTACATGATGTCCACCAACGCCCTCGTTAAACATCATTCCCATTGCTATTTGCTTCGACATTTGACCTGCGTCCCCGCTCACAACTGCGTCCCCGCAGACTAGCAAACAGAATAGTGTTGCGCTTCAAGCACCAAACCAGATCCGGCTGAATCTCAGGGATGCCTTGCAGATTGTGTTGTCAGGGAATTTCTTTGTTGTCAACTGAAGGGCGGCTCAAAGGTCGAACCAGGTGCTGTTTGGCGTCTTGAGCCTTTGACCATGCGGCGGAGTGATTCCAAGACATGGATACCAAGACAAGAATATGCCGGCCCCGAAGAATAATAGTTCTGGCGGATCGGTTGGACTGTTTTCCCGCGCAACGGGAAATACATAAAAGCCGGACCTCAAAAGAGGAGCCCCCTCTCGATCACTCAAACGCTTGGGCTGACGTGCGGAATTCAAAGGGAAACCCGTGTCGGGAAGACAAACCTTGGTTCTTGGCAGACTATAAACCATCCCTTGCGGTTTCCTTTAAGGGAATCCCCAAATGCTTCATGCCAACCGGACTCGTTACTTCATTCCCTACCTAGCGAGACGCGCCGAGACGCCTCCGAGGTTCAGCTTCATGCCGCTCATGGACATCGCCGCGCACGTGGGGGGATTAGCCATGGGTGCAGGCGAGGAGTGATTCCTTCGCTGCGTGTGCTGGGCCCGAAAGTGGCTGGCATTTTTTGGAGTCATATTTGTTTGGGGGCGGGGGGGCATATGAATATGTGTTGGCATGTGGGACACTGAACGCTACCCCCACCCTCCCGCCCTCCCCATTTGGGTCTGTTTTTTGGAGGGTGTTCTTTTGCACCTTGGGAAAGGGAAACCAAAAAGGACACCACCGTTTGGGGTCCCCTAGTTTATGCCCATGTTGTGTAGGATGCAGGGTTTCGGGTTGGGGATCCTCAATTGTTATTTGGGCGGAACGTTCCTTGAGAACGGACACAATTTAGGGGGCAAGTATAATAATTGACGTCAACGGACGCAGGTTTGCAGATGAGTTGTGTTGATCCCGGAGTAAGCACTGAACTTTTGGAGGAAAGTCCCCAGAAGTGAGAATCCACTTTGAAATGGCGCACGCCCCCTGTGAATCAACGGGTTGATAAATCCCGTGCTTGGTTAAAAAAGGTAGCTTCGGTCAAACTGAACAGTTGGAAGGAAATGTAACTACAAGTATGCTGACAACCCCAAAATTGGAGGTGTAGTCCTTCTGATGGAATCCGCAAATTGGTTGTTGAATACAGCAAGAAACTTGGAGATGATTTGGCACAAGAAGCTCGAAAAGATGACATCCAGACCCTCTACGTACCCCTTTTCTTTAGGGCATGATACCAAGGTTTGAGCGTTACAGGAGCGTTCTTTGAAAGATCGGAGAGGCATATGGTGTCAACTGCATGGCTGGCGATTTCTGTTCGCTGGCTAGGATTTCTTAGGGGAGCCCACAGGAAGGCGCAGTCAGTCCACCGGTCTGGGAGGAGCGTGCGCACCGGCTCGGATTCGATCGAATCGCTTCGATTCGGTCGCCAGGAATTGCCATGGCGATCTTTGGCAACAGGCGGGCGCTTGGTAATTTTCTGGTGTCTCAGGCCGACCGGCGGGAATTCGAAATCAAGGATCAAGAATATTCGCCGGGTTTCAGCAAAGTGTGCGATTGTTTGTTTGCTTGCTTGCTTGGTTGCTTGCTTGCTTTGTTGGTTGTTTGTTTGTTTGTGTGTGTTTTTTTTTTTTTTTGTCTGCTTGTTTGTGTGTTTGTTTGTTTGTGTGTTTGTTTGTTTGTTGTTTGTTTGTTTGTTTGTTTGTTTGTTTGTTTGTGTGTGTGTGTTTGTCTGCTTGTTTGCGTGTTTGTTTGGTTTGTTTTGTTGCTTGCTTGTTTGTTTGTTTGTTTGTTTGTTTGTGTGTGTGTGTGTCTGTTTGTTTGCGTGTTTGTTTGGTTTGTTTGTTTGCTTGCTTGCTTGTTTGTTTTGTTTGTTTGCTTGTGTGTTTGTTTGTGTGTGTGGTTGATTACTTGTTTGTTTGTTTGTTTGTTTGTTTGTTTGGTTGGTTGTTTGTTTGTTTGCTTGTGTGTTTGTTTGTGTGTGTGGTTGATTACTTGTTTGTTTGTTTGTTTGTTTGTTTGTTTGTTTGTTTGTTAGTTCGTTTGTGTGTTTGTTTGTGCGCGTGGTTGATTGCTTGATTGTTTTGTTTTGTTTTGTTTTGTTTTTGTTTGCTTGCTTCCTTGCTTGCTTGTTTGCTTGCTTGGTTGGTTGGTTGGTTTGCTTTCTTTGTTTACCTGCTTCTTGGTATGTGTTTGTTTGTTGCTTGTTTGCCTGTTTATTTGCTTGTGTTATTGAACTTCTTGGCATGTCAAACACAACCAAGGGAAAAACCGCTTGTTTCAGAGAAGCCCATCAGATCAATCCAGTCGGTTCAATTCGGTGGATCTGCCAGGCTTCAAGACAAAGTCTTCCGCTGGGCAACCATCTCCGCGGGTGGGACGCTCAGCGATATTGGCCTGTGGGTTGAGCTTTGGTTTTCTAGATTGCAAGGTGGCTGTGGGCAAAACTATCTTCCCAAAAATGGAGCCCTGGTAAATGGAACCAAGGACTAAAACCTACAATCAAAATGTTGACCCATACCCAGCTTGGGCCATGGTTCCAACAGCTCGCGTTGGATCTTGATGCTTAGCACCGCGCTGGTTGTCACTACAGCATTGGCTGACCATGGCTCGGCCACCCGACGCCTAGGGATGGTTTTTCGTGGGCGCCATATTTCGGGTGTTTGCCGTTGGAAGGCCAATACAAGCACATCTGATAAAGCAAGCAGCTAAGGCAAGTACAAAGCAGGGTAAATTACACGTATATGCCCCATGTAAGCAAGTGAGAGATGCTGACTTGGGTTTTGGAATTTCGGTTTTAGTGGAATCCTCGTGTAACACGCAGTGGACACGCCTCGGAATGAGGCATATGCGTGGTTGTCGTCATGCTTGTGGTGACAATCATCCTCTTTGCCTCAGCCTCAGAAGTCAGACCGTGCCCATTACTTTTTGTCCTTGCTGAAATGAACACTGTGTTGTATTTTCTCTGGTCTTGATTGGAATCGATTATACAACTGAAAATATATTTGTTTGTTGTTGTTTTTTCAGGGGGCGTAGTTGCAAATGCAGGCAACCATGTTTCTTGTTTCTCCCTCGCGCAGGGGGGGGGGTTCTCTTTTACAATCAAGTACCATAAAGTTGCTTTTTTTTCTCTTTGGCCACTGGTCGACCAAAAAACACCTGCAAGCCTCCATTGCCTCTCGGGGGGTGGGTTGACACCTCCTGGGTTCGAATGGACCTCCTTTTTGGTAGGGCACTCCACCACGGATCCCGCAATTTCCCACCCCTCCCCCGTTTTTGGATCTCCACCTTCGGCGTGGAAATATGAACTCCAGTAAGTTGATCCTTTGGTTTGGGGAATTTCAGTGACCCTTTACACTTAATACTTGAAACCTCCTCGCTACTTTAACAAGTAGGGGCCGAAATACGCAGAATTGGGCGAGGAAATTAGAGTAGCCTTGGGCATTGGCTGAAACCAAATATAACCAAATCATCTCATGGGTGCTATTCGAGAAGCCCCGTCTTGGGCTGACTGTATGGACCCTTTTTCACCCATGAACCGGCCCCGACCGGCAGCACGTCAGTGCTCCGAAATTGGCAACTTCTTGTAGTTCCCCTTCAAAAGGTACCAGGGACTAGTTCTTGCCTTTCGCGACTCAGACTTCGTGCCGTAAGCTCTGCGTTCGGAGGACTTTTGTGCAAGGAAGCCACGAATTTCCCTTTTCCAAGGTTTGACTGTGACACCATGCAGCGTTTGCGATTTAAGCAGCGTTGAGCTGCTTCGAGGTGACCACGACTCAGATCCCCGACTATCTTTTGGAGCTTTGCCAGCGCCCGAATTGTTGAAGTGCTTGGGAATGCGTCTTCGCTCGCGCCAGTCGCATTCCGCCTGTTGGCAGCTGTAAACTTTTGAGCTTGCCGTGGCGTATGTCCTTCGGGAACCAACTCTTACTTTGGGTTCTGGACGCATAGACTTGGTTTGCGGACGCCAAGTTCTTACTTGGATGTGGAAGACTGGAGACAAAGGATGGTTGTTGGTAAGCGACGCTGGGTGCTGCAGCAGTGCTTTGTGCTGGCAAGCTGAGAGAGTGGTAGTGTAGCCAGGTGAAGCACTGAGGGTTTTTTGTCCTTGTGTGATTTGAGGGAACAAGGAGCTTATGTTGATTTGGAGACGGCTTAAATAGATCCCCCAGCCGGTTGTTTTTTGCATTTGCTGCAAGCCTCTGCTTGCTGGGCATTGAATTAGTTGAGTCAGATTGGGTCTGTGTGAAAACCGACACCGACGAGCACCCTTTGTTGTTTTGCCCTGGCGCAACCAGGAAACGAGGTGGTCACTTGCTTGCCTATGTTCAGAATTGTGCAGACCCTGATAAGTCAAGGTGCCAGTCTTCCCCTTCTTCCCGGCTTACCCAACACTTGAGAAACACCCACACCAGGCCAGCTCGCTCGGACAGCTTTTGTGCTCTCCGGGCAGTTTGGTGTTCATCAAATTTCCTCTTTGCTTAGCTCGGTGTGGAACACACAGCCCATTGACGGATTCGCTTCGTTTCTCGATCGCTGCGCCCTTCGCGCCAAGCGCTGGGCTCGATTCGAGACTCGATCGGGTTCAAAAGGCCGTGCCAGCGCCAGCTTGCCCCTCAAAAGGGTGTCTTTGGGAGTGCCTGGACCCTCAAGCTGCCCTTCAAAAAAGGGAATTCCCCCCGGTCTTTTGGTGCAATCTACAATTTTTCATGGGTAATATTGACCCCATATTAATCAACCCCAGTTTATTAATATGGGGGTGTTCCCCTCCAAAGTGATGGTTTGCCACTAAACCCGGGGACACCCCCTATCAATAAACTGGGGTTGATTAACATGGGATGAACATTAGTTTGAGGGTCGAGGTACCCTTTCTCTGTTGTTTCCACACTCGGAGTCGTGCAAGCTCGGTGTAGATCCTAAGGTTTCACAAAGCATACTCATCCAGAGAAATCGAAGGGACCCCGCCCACAAAAGGGATGTTCAACGTGTTCCACACCAAACCCTGAGGTTCAAACTACCACGACAACAGTGGGGGTTAATGCAAGCACCATTATTTCAGGCAAGGATGGCAAGGACCAAACCAGAACTTATTTACTGTTCAGCAGTTTCATCCAAGTTTGGTCCTTGCCGGCCTTTTGCTCGGGGCAAGGAACAGTAAGGTGTAGGGTGTCATTTTTGGGGCCCAGCTGGAGTGTCAGCTTGCTCCAAAACGTATGGTTTGCGGGGCCGATTCTGATTTTGAGAGACGCGCAGAAGGCACGAGCAACAGTTTTATGTTTGGTTGTTTGCTTGTTTGTTTGTTTGTTTGTTTGTTTGTTTGTTGATTTATTTACTTATTTGTTTCTTGTTTCTTTCTTGATTTCCTTCCTTCCTTCCTTCCTTCCTTCCTTCCTTCCTTCCTTCCTTCCTTCCTTCCTTTTTTTCTTTCATTGATTATTTCTTTCTTTCTTTGTTTGTTTGTTTCTTTGCTTGGGGGATTCGGTTTGACCCAATTTACCTAGTTGACACCACCAAAGAGTGGGCAGATCCAAATTTTCTCATCTGCTCTTCATGGAGCACCTTCGCAATGCTCGACTGCTGACAGAATCTCTGCTTTGCAGCTCATGAGTTGCAAGTACATCTCCCATTGCCTCGTGCCATTCCTAGGGAACCAGCGCAGAATGATCCTAAGCCTAAAGGCTGCAAATGAGAGCCACAAGCGTTTACGAAAATATATCTTAGCCCATTAGCACAATTGCAAAGAGTGTTGCAGTGCTTCCTTCGCCCGCAATGGTTGCCGCGCTCGCTGAAGGCGGGGCGGTTGCTATGACCAGCCTGGAGTTGGGGCTTGCGAAAAATCTTCCTGGACCCTCCCAATTCTCGAAACAAAAGAGTTCACCCTATAATTCCGGGGTAATAACCCGTTTTTTTTTGGGATAATTTGAGGGTTGCAGGTGGTGATACGCCAGCCCAACCAGTGCCGAGAGATTCGGCTGCATTTTGTCCATGAAAGTAGGGGGGGTGACAGAGTGACCCTGCAAATCCCTTTAATTTGTTTGGTGGCTTCCACTGGTGGCTAAGCCACCAACAGCAACCTTCCAGCAACTAAGATGACAGTTGACCAACTGTGACCTCGGGTTTCCCAAAAGAACCCTGGCTTGCACTCAGAGTTTCAGAAATGGCTTCCTGACACCCCATCGACTCAAATGGCAAACGCGCCAAAGAAATGATTGTGGCTCAAACAAATGTACCCAAAATGCATCTTATATGGAAACAAAGACTCAAACCTGCTGTTTGCCCCAGCTGCTTGAGTTTGAGCCACACCCAACTTGGTGTGTCGTTTGTTTTGGTTGTCCGCATGGTGTCCCTTCCAAACCACGAAACAGGGCCCTCGAAAAAGGTCACTCCCAAGTTGTGACTTTTGACGAGCTTCCCCCCCACGGTTCAGCACATGTCAATGTCACTCATTCTCGGTGCAAAGACGAGGACTGCTTTCATCCTCTAGCTGAATGCTACTGGGTTGGATCTTTAGACTTTAACCTTTGGTTGAAATCTTTTGGGTTTTCCATTGAACCCAGAAATAGTTAAAATGCCAATAACTGAAAGCGGGAATATGGTCAATGAAGCATTGCATCTGAGCTTCGAAGAGCAACGAAAGTCACAAAGCAAATGTAACCACCTGTTTCGGACAAACTAGGGTGGACGGCTCTGTTTCGCTGTGCATCACCCTTGCCATGTCCAGCCTTTGTTCGGAATTGATATCAGTTCGCGTCACACAATGACACATAGGCCATGACATGTCCTCAGTGGATGCGATTGTTTTGGCTCACGCTGCTATTAGCCCAAGCAATGCTTGCATGTGTTGATGCAACAAGTGGCCAAAAGAGGCGACCGTGTCCTTTTTTGAGGGCACCCTTTTTGTTGCCGGTTTTAAGAAGGGACACCACAACCCGAATCCATGTTGGGAATCCAAGTCGCACAAATGAACGGCCAACCCCATTTTGGGAATCCAAATCCTAAAAATAAACGGGCAAGCCCATCTTGGGGTTCCAAAGCCTACAAAACCACAAAAGGACAGGTTGGGATGTCCGCCACCCAAGAAAAGAACGGACGGTCGACCTAGTCACAGGCGCCTGCACCGCGGAGGACTCCACCGCGGCGCGGGGAAGCCCAAAAGCCGATGAGGGAAGCCCGAGAAAACCATCCAGGGTCCTCAAGGGAAGAGGAAGGAGAGAAAGTGGATGACCCTCCCTTGCAGCAATATAGCACCCATGGGTGTCCTTTTTAGGTGAGTGTGGTCAAAAATACAAGGGTTCCACTGGTTTAGATGGGTGTTATTCCATTTACCAGGGCCATCTTTTTTTTTATCAACAGGACTCGTATGATAGCGCCTGTGGACCTGTGGGAGGGTACCTGCAAGGTTTCCTGTAGGGTGTCAGGTGCCATGGCAAAGTGGGAAGGTGGAAGAGACCCAGACACATCTACCTTCTGTTGCAATCCTCCATGCGCATCCAAGCAAGATGAAGTGAAGCACCTGGAATGAAACAGCAATGAGGGAATGCTCCCAATAAACCATCCAACTGGCGGCTTCCTTTAAGGAGACCCCTCGATACTGGGCGAATTCCAAACCATCAATCCAAAGTGCCAAGTGAAGCACCTGAACATTTCACAACTGGTTTGATGGGCAGGGAATGAGTTGGAATGGCCCCGCAAAAAACAAAACATCCATCCCATGTCCTTCAAGGGAATGCACAGGTTCATTCCCAACACCCGGAAGGTCAGTATCCATCCGATTTGCTTTCTTTTAAGGGAATCCCGAACAGTTCATCCCCAACACCCAGGCTCGGTCATTCCCCACGTAGCGCACGGAGCAAGATGAGGGAGGAGGAGGAGGAGGAGCAGGAGCAGGAGCAGGAGCAGGAGCAGGAGCAGGAGGAGGAGGAGGAGGAGGAGAGAAAGGAGGAAAAACCCAGGATAAACATACACTACCTCCTCCTCCAAACCCAAAAAGAGGAGATGACGAAAAGGGAAGCAGCTGCATCCTTCATGCCCTGAGGCCAGACACGCCCGGCTCTTCAGAGGTCTCCGCACCCTCGGCAGGAGCGAGCGCGGAGCGCGGAGGGAGGAACTGCGTCCTTTTGGATGTGGATGTTTGTTTTTGATGGGGCGTCTTTTTCAGAATCACACAAGCTTATACAAAAGCTTTGGAACGGCATCATGTTCGCGGCAGTTTAGGTGGGGGTAGATGCTCGCGTGGGCATTTCGTGTAGATTGAGTGTTTTCTAAAGCGTAGGTACCCGCGTTGCCATGTTCATCCCCAAAAGGCTTGAGATCCCCACAGCTGTCACTCTTGCAGAACGCCAACCCGGTGCAACAGTGCTCGGCTCACCAGGTGTGTCTAGGGTCTGTCTTTTTTTGAGTTGGTACCCGTTTCTTGGTGGGTTTAAGGACAACCAAGAAGGAAAACCAAGCTTTTGGAGGGTCCAAATCCCAAAAAACAGGACAGACCCAAGAGGAACTCTAAAAGCCAGGGATTCCGTTTTGAATGCCAGGTGCCGGCGCGCCGCGTAGGCGCTTGGGATCCGGGCGCTTTTGGATTGTAGCTTGGACTCGAGCTGGTTGCCTGAAGGTCCGCTTCTTTGTGAGCAAATGGGAGCTTCTCAAAATGGTCGCCTTTTTGACAAAGCTCACTCCCTGAGTTCCTGGACTTTAGCCTTTTTGGGTTTGGGAAGACCGTTTTAGTGGTAAGCACAGAGCTTGGACTTTGTTTGACCAATCCATTCAGGAAATGAGCGAAAGTAAATGACGCAAGTCCCGCATTTAGGTTCCATCCCCTTCATTTGCCTACGCAAAGGGATCGAGTTGTGCCATCTACTTTCACCCCGGTCGGCGTTGTTTTGGGAAGCGGGGCCACCAAATGGTCCATGTCCTTCTGGGGAACAGGGCGTGAAAGTTATTAGCTCTTTGGTGGGCATCATGGGGAGTTATAGGCCCTCCAAGCACTGGATGTTCCCTTTTGGAAGTGGCTCATTTACTTTAAAAATGGTTCTGGTCCAGTCTCTCTTGGTGGCTTGATTCCTAAAAACTGGGT